AAAATGTTATTTATATATATATATATATATATTATACATACATATGCACACACACACACACACACACACACACACACATTAACTCTTCCTTTTATTTTCTTAGAGTCATTCAGAAAATGTCTCTCAACATCCACTCCATGTAGAAGTATTACACTCTGAGGTTATGGCTCATCAAAAATTTGCTTTGCGTCTTGGCTCCTGGATGAACAAAATTATGAGCTATTCAAGTAAGCATACAGCTTATTTATTTCACTTCTGATAAACTACTGTGTTATTTATAGCTGTAAATTTTTTTTTTTTTTTTTTTTGGTCTTTTTGAGACAGGGTCTCCCTCTAGCCCCAGCTGACCTAGAACTCACTAATGTAGACCAGGCTGGCCTTGAACTCACAGAGATCCACCTGCCTCTGCCACCTGAGTGCTGGAACTAAAGGCGTGCACCACCACACCCAGCATATTATAGCTGTAAATTTTTAAATGTAATTAATTTTTGTCTCATGGTCCAGTGTCCATTTTGTTTGATTTTTCAGAATTATATTTCAAATGTATGATCACAAGATTTTTTTTCAAATGCATAATATCCTTTATTGACTCTTGAGTCTTTGAGATGGCATAATTATTCTTAGCATCAAGACTAGCAGGATTAATTTTAATCTTTTCACATGCTATTACAAGAAACATAGTTTTTAATATATGAATGAAAATTACCTCACATCTTTCCTTTGTAGGTGACTTTAGGCAAATCTTCTGCCAAGCATGCCTCATTGAAGAACCAGGCTCTGAAAACCCCTGTCTCATAAGCAGATTAATGCTTTGGGATGCAAAGCTTTATAAAGGTTAGTAGACCTTTGCTTATGCTACTTACCAGGAATCAAGGGAATATTATGACTTCATAGTAGAGCTGAGCTCTTTCTTTTAGTTATTAAATATATATATATTAAATATATGATCTTAATTGATAGTATATATGTAGGTAAGGTTAGCCTTTTTATTTTTTTTTCCTGTGTTAAAGTCCAGGTGCTTTTTTTTAACAATAGTGTCTTTTCATTTTTGATAGAGCCAGCTAAAGAGTGTTGATTTAACTTCAGTTTGATTAAAATTGTTTTCTTTTTAAAAATCTGAAGAATAGGAAGTAGGCTGGGCGTGGTGATGCATGCCTTTATTCCCAGCACTTAGGACACAGTGGGAGGTGGATCTCTGTGAGTTCAAGTCCAACCTGGTCTACATAGTGAGTTCCAGGCCAGCTGAGGGCTACAGGGAGAACGTGTCTCAAAAAGATAGGAAATAAAGGATGAAAGTCTAAAGTGTATGGAAAAGGAAAAAGTATAGAATTAGAATAGTTCTGAGTGAAACAGTAAAAAGAAATGAAAAGGGGGGCCTAGAGAAATGGCTTAGCAGGTAAGAGTATGTACTCGCCTTGCAGGGGACCCTGGTTCATGCTTACATCAGATGGCTTACAACTGCGTATAACTCCTGCTCCAGGGGATCTGACTTCCTCTCTGGCCTTAGCAGGTGCCTACAGTCACATCATAACACACACACACACACACACACACACACACACACACACACTCACACTTAAAACTTTAAAAAAAAAAAAAAGAAAAGGTTTGGAGAGGATAAAAGGTAAGATGAAATGGAGAGAGAGGTACAGAAAAGAAATGTCAATATCTGTGTATTTTAAATTATAGGTATTAAATATTAGCAGTAAATACTATCTTTAGTTGTCCTTGAAGCTATTAATTAACAAGTTAAATTTTTTTTATAGTACTCTACTACTTCTAATGCCTAAATTATTTTGTCTTAATGGTACCCTCCCCCTCTGTTCCCCAATGATTTATAGGTGCCCGTAAGATCCTTCATGAATTGATCTTTAGTAGTTTTTTTATGGAGATGGAATACAAAAAACTCTTTGCTATGGAATTTGTGAAGGTAATTGCTATTTATAAATAATCAATAACTAGATCATAATTGTAATAAATGAAATAATGGAAACAAAGGGATAATTATGCTCCAGGATTGAATTTATTTATTTATTTATTTACTTTTTTGGTGGGGGCGTCTTTTTTGAGACAGCGTCTCCCTGTAGCCCTAGCTGTCCTGGAACTCACTATGTGTAGACCAGGCTGGCCTTGAACTCACAGAGATCCACCTACCTCTGCCTCTGGAGTGCTGGGATTAAAGGTGTGTGCGGCGTGTGAATTTATTTATTTTTATTAAAATATATAAACATTTTTGTAAATGGTAGTATGCAAACAGTAATTTTAGAGAGAGACTAGTTGGAAAGTGATGTGTTTACCAAGGCTGGGCAAAGATGAGTTATTCCATTCATGCATACATTTATTCTTTTTCTTTTTTTTTTTTTCCACCTATTTTTCTTGATAATTTATTTGCCTGTTAGTAAAATTATAGGAAGAGCAGAAGGGACTGGTTGAAGGGAATAGCAGGGAAGAGGAACAGATGTGCATGCTAAAGGGAGCCAGGAATTAGGAGGCCAGCATAAAACTGAGGCCAAAAACATAGAGGTAAAATTGAAGCTGTTTTATGTTCCTATAATGACCTGTTGTATATGCTTTTCATTATTAATGTCTATTTATCTGTCAAGTAAAATTGCGGTTACACAGAACAAGGGGGAATTTTCTTCTTTGTTCAAAGATAGGGGCTGGAGAGATGGCTCAGCGGTTAAGAGCACTGACTGCTCTTGCAAAGGACCCAGGTTCAATTTCCAGCACCCACATGGTAGCTATGAACCACCCTTAACTCCAGTTCCAGGGGAATCCGAAATCCTCTTCTGACCTCCGCGGCATTGCACGACACGGGTGCACTCATATACACACAGGCAATATACTCATACACATAAAATAAAAATAATAAAATATTTAGGAAAAAAAAAGATACAATAAATATTTATTGACTCCTGAATCTTTTTTAGGTTTTGTGGGGGTTTCGAATTTTTATTTGTTTGTTTGTTTGTTTATTGGTCTTTTTGAGACAGGGTCTTTCTTTAGCCCCAGCTGGCCTGGAACTCACTGTGTAGACCAGGCTGGCCTTGAACTCACAGAGATCCACCAGCCTCTACCTCCTAATTGCTGGGATTTAAGGCATATGCCACCATGCTTGGGAACTTTTGATTTTGCTTTTCATACAGTTCTGAGAGACTTAGAACAGGTTAGAGATAGTACCCAAATTAGAGTTGGAAGTCGAGAGAGAAATAATAACTGTTATAGGTAAATGACAGTATGGGATGAAATATCTTCTCTGGCTTGTATAAGCAGATGGTTAAAAGTAATGTTTATGTATCACTTTAACCTTTGGAGGTGATGGCGGCTGAAGACAAACATTATTTTCTAAAACTCCTTAGAGAATGTTGGGCCTAGATAGAATGTGTGATCTAAAATTAAATTTTATTTTGCACTAAAGCTGATCTTACTTAAATGAAATATATTTTTTTGTACAGCATGGTTAGCTCTTAAATGCTAGGAATTCTGGAATGTAAAATTAGATAGATAAATAATTTCCAACTCTGTTTTTATACATAATAGATGTTTGACATTTAGTGGGTATGTTATTAATTTTGTTCTTCTAATACAGTGGGGTTGGTTATATAGATTAAAAAAATACTTGTAGCTAGCATCCATTCTGTTTGATTGATTGGTTTTCTGGGTCATATAAGTTGTTCAGTACATTGTATATGTCCTCTATAGTGCTAGAGTAGAAACTGCTAAAAAAAAAAAAAAAAGCCACTAGAGAATTTTGGTTTCTTTAAGAAAGGATAAAATACACCATTACACGCTGCCATGATTTTCACCTGTTTGTTTTGCTGTCCATCTGACTGCTAGATCAAGTAGTTGAATTCATATTTTGGTCTCCTGCTTGTTATTCTCTAAGGTATTTTTTGCTGTTCTTGGTAGCTTGCCTAATAAACATACTAACTTGTCACTTATAAACTGAGTCAGATTTCAGCAGTTATTAAAATTGTGACTTTAAAGGTTTTAGTAGTGATTTGTGACCGATTTCCCACTTATCTCTTTAAGTATTATAAACAACTACAGAAGGAATATATCAGTGATGATCATGATAGGAGTATCTCTGTCACTGCACTGTCAGTGCAGATGTTTACAGTTCCTACTCTGGTATGTATGAATTATTTCTTTGCATTCTTCCTGAGTAAAACTTGTTTTGCTTTTTAAGAATTTCACTTAATGTGAAATCAGATTAAAACAATGTAAGGATCACTAAGTTGGGCTGATTCCATTTAGAAAATTTAGTAATACTTCAGTGGTATCTGCATGTGAATAATAACTTTAGTGGTATGGTAGGACAAAGTAACTGTGCACTTCCTTTATCCAAATGGCCTGATCTCTGCAGGTGACGTCTAAAGCGGATTTCTCACTCTCTGGAGTAACTGAGGAGTATGGTCTTTTCAAGACTAACACCTTGTTTTTTTGAAACTTTGCTATTCTTTTGTCTTAGTTTTTGGGAAATAACTTATTAAGGTAAAAACTGGGATCAAGGAGAACGTGCCTAGCAAACACTGAGATAATGACTTTGAGGAAAAGGGAGACTTCTGTTTCCTTTTTATTTGATTTCTTTTCCTGTTTCTTCTACAAACTTTGATAAACTGTTCCTACTTTTCATTTTTCAGAGGATCAGAAAAAGGATGGGGAAGAGAAATTGAATTGGGGCAAGGGAGAAATACCAGAATAGATAGTAATATTGTAGAAGTTGTGAAAGATATCTTTGCTCTTAGTTGCTCATGGCGTGATTATAGATGATTAATGTTTAGTTAAATAACCTGTATAATGGGCTTGGCATATCCAGACAGGTATTTTCTAATTACCAAGTAAGGAGGAGTTTTAGAAACTAACTTTTTGGTCTGGGAGTATAGCTCAGTGGCATTACCCTTGCTTAACATACACAGGCCCTGGATTTGAGCTCTAGCACTGAAAATAAAAACAAAACCCAAACCTTAGAAATTAACTTCTAAAGTAGTTGCTATTCTTTAAAAACTAAGGCCCTGGGTTTGGTCCTCAACTCAGAAAGAAAAAAAAAAAGACAAAATAACAAAAAAAGACCAAAAAAAAAAACCAACAAGGCAACTAAAACTAGGAATTGTTTTTAGTGCTCAATAAACATTTATTAAAATTTTCCTACTTACAGGGGAAAGCTGGTCTATAATCCTAGCACTGAAGAATTGAGCAAGAAGACTAAGTTTGAAGCCAGTCTGGGCTATAGAGTCAGATCCTGTTATAAAAACGAAATACTGACCAGCCAAATGAATGAATAAATTAAGTCCATACTATGATGAGTTCATGCTAAGACAATATTCTTGAAATATTCTGCAGGCTCGGCATCTTATTGAAGAACAGAATGTTATTTCTGTCATTACTGAAACTCTGCTAGAAGTTTTACCTGAATACTTGGACAGGAACAATAAATTCAACTTCCAGGGTTATAGCCAGGACAAACTGGGAAGAGTATATGCAGTAATATGTGACCTAAAGTAAGTTGTTCGAGTTAAAAGGTGAGGGCACCTGTTAAATACAGCGTGCTTATTTGCTCTGTCTTATAAGTAAACCTTTGATCCTTTTGGTTATCTAGGATTCTCTTTGTAATGATGGCAAGTACAAAGCATTGTGACTGCTTCATGTTAATGCAGTTGGCTCCTTTATCCATGGGTTCCACATCTGTGGATTCAACCAACCAAAACTGGAAAGTACTAAAAAATAATTAAGTCTGTACTGAACATGTACAGACCTATTTTCTTGCTTTTATTCTCAAAACACCACAGTATAACAACTATAAAACATTTGCTTTGTGAATGTATCAAATTATCTAGGATGTATAGGTAGGCTATTTGCAGATACTTTACCATTTTATATATCTTGAGAGTGGAGTTCTGGAACCAGTTTCCCACAAATACCACAAGGCTTCTGTACATGTCTTCAGTGACATCTTACTGGCTTTAAAACCAAGTTAATAAAGAAGGTACTGAGGACAGGCCTGTCACATGTACTTGGACCACAAAATGAATCTCCATTGTAACTACCACACTTTGACTCACCATCACTCATACACTTTGTGAATCTATCCCTCTTGTATATTCTCACAGTTGCTGATGATCTGTTAATTTAAATTTCTTCTTAAATCTCCCTTTTCATGTATATCAACCTATTTATATTTATCAGAGTTCTCTTAATTGAATTTTTCTCCTTGAAGAGGGTTGAGAATTTCCTTTTAAATGAAAATTGGGATACTAACAAGATGGTCTAGTGATTAAGAGTTGTACTGCACTTGCAAAGTGTGGGGTCTCTCCCTCCCCTCATGGGTTGTTGGCCACCGATCCACGAGGACAAAGGGAGCAGAAGCGACAAACGGGGTCAGGATGGCCAGTGAGCACTGATGGAAGAAAGCCCTTCCAGGGAGGCAGATTCAGTGATACAGCTCCATTTATTCAGTGGGGGTCAGGGAAAATATAGTGTGGAGGCAGCAGCCAAAGCTTCAGCTGATAGGTACTCATAGTATGCTTTATTTACATGTGGTAGTGGGATTCTATCATCTGGCTATAGGGCAATGCCTAATTATCATATAGAAAAAACCTGGGGGCAGTTTTTATTGCAGGTAACTATGCCAAAGGTCATGTTCTGAATAAGGTCAGGCATCTGTGCTTGGAGGCATTTTCCAGGTAAGTCAGGCAGGAAGCCCCTGCTGAGAAAGGAGCCAACCTTAACCGCAGGGTTCCCCAATAGCAAAGGACTTAGGTTCAGTTCCTAGCACTCATATTGGGCAGCTCACAACTGCCTGTAACTCTAGCTCCAGGGGATTCAATGCTCTTTTCCGGACTTCTTGGGCATCTGATCTCATATGCACATTCCTACACACAGACACACGTATACATGTACTTTAAAAAGATTCTTAAACTAAAATTGGACTCACATGATAGAACAGTTCAGATCATTGAAATAAATTTCTATTCATTTTAATTAAAAAAACTTATGGGGGAGGTGTGATGTCATTAAAGGTGACTCCTTTAATCCCAGCACCCTGGAGGCAGAAGTAGGTAAATGGATCTCTGCGAGATTGCAGCCAGCCTGGTCTGTATCCAGGCCAACTAGGGCTACAGAGAAACCCTGCCTCAAATCAAAAGAAAATAAAGCTGGGCATGGTAGTGGACACCTTTAATCACAGCACTTAGGAGGCAGGGGCAGGCAGATCTCTGTGAGTTCAAGGGCAACCTGGTCTGCATAGTGAGTTCAAGGTTAGCTGGGGCTACAGGGAGACCCTGTCTCAAAACAATGAAAAACAAAACAAAATAAGTAAAGAAAACATTTTATTTTACTTGTATCAGTGTTTTGCCTACATGTATGAAGTGCACCCTTGCATGCAATGCCCACAGAAATCAGAAGAGGGTGTCAGATCCCTTGGAACTGGAGTTAGAATAGTTGTTGGCTGTCATATGGGTGCTGGGAATAGAACCCAGGTCCTCTGTAAGAGCAGTAACAGTAAGAGATTGTGAACAGTAAGAGAATTCTGACAGATCACCTGGTTAATAAATCACAGACTTCAAAAAATTGGATATATTAGAACAAAATATATTTCACTTATGACCTAAGTGTGGTTCTCAGCACTCATATCAGGTGGCTCACAACTACCTGAAATTCTAGCTCTGCTGGACTTCATGTCTGCCCTCCTTGGGCATCTACACCCAAGTGCACATAGCCACACATGGACGGGGACACACACACACACACTAAAAAATACATCTTCTTAAAAAGACTAAGGCATGTATGATTGACTATTTCTAGTCTCAAGGAGAAAAATTCCTATTTTACCTGCTTCTAATGACTATACAGGATACAGAAGATAGACAAATGGGCTTCTAATCCAACTAAAAAATAATTTAGTCTATTTTAGAAATAGCTTTGGAGTTTAGCTTAGTAGTTGAGTGTTTGCCTAGTATACCTAAAACCCTGGTTTCACCGCCCCCCTCCCCCAGCCCTGGAGGTTGGGAGCATTTGGTAGTTTTCTGGAATTATACAATGGTCCTTGATATCACCAAGGTAAATTCTTCAGTGTTTTCTCAAATTCTTTAATTTCAAAACATGCTTGTGACATATAGTTTTTTTTTTTTATTAGAGTGTAGTAAATTGCTATGTTACCTCACCTTCAGTGTAAGTAGAGATGGTGGATGAGTTCAGTAGTAATCCCCATGTAGCCATTGCCATTTAGATTTGTACCTTAGTCAAATTATGCTTGAATTATATTATTCAAAACAAACAGAATTTCCTCATGACTATAATTTAAATATTCCTTGTTAATTCATTGACTATCCTTGGTCTACTTTACAGGGAAAATACCCTTTATTTATTCTTTTTTTTTTTTGGTCTTTTTGAGACAGGGTCTCCCTGTAGCCCCAGCTGGCCTGGAACTCACTATGTAGACCAGGCTGGCCTTGAACTCACAGAGTTCAGTGGGCTAAAATAAGCCTACTCTTCTCTCCAAACCAGTGCACCCTAATATGCAAGGCATGTTGACAAAGCACTTACATACTTCTTCCAGGATCTGAGTTCTGAAAGCCCGGGGGTGGGAAATCTGATTGAAATCCCCTGAGCCTGAAAGGATTTCAGTTGGCCTTTTGGCTGATGGCTATGAAGAGTCTGAGGAACCCTGTACTCCCTGTACTGTTTATCCAGAGTTGTCTGCAACAGGCCTGTGAAAGGCTAGATTGGTCTGAGGTTCACTTACTCAGACCAGCCTGAGGCAGAATTTATGAAGTCAGGCCTAGCTTTGATAGCTGTCTCTTTGTAGGGCATTGCAACAGTTTGCTAATTGTATATAAATAAAGCAAAATAACTAATTCTAGTTCTGCCCAAAGCTTCTAATTATTGTAAGAAATTGGAATTCATAATTTTGATGAGCCAACATTGTATATAACCCTTAGAACCTCAAAATCGTTTCAGGATAGAGAAGTGAAATATTTCTTTCTCTTTTGAAACGATAGATATATCCTAATTAGCAAACCTACAATGTGGACAGAAAGATTAAGAATGCAGTTCCTTGAAGGTTTTCGGTCTTTTCTGAAGATTCTTACCTGTATGCAGGTAAGATAATTCTTTGACTTGCCAATAAAATAAAATGAATTTACTTCTTCATCTTTTAAAAAATAAATTTTGGTTTTCATACAAGAAAATTTATATACTGAAGTAGAAATAAAATTTAAATACTGACTTGTTGATCCTGCTTTCGTAGGTCTTTATATACCTGATATAGTTAACTATTACTACTATTAATGTTTAGTGAGTAAGACTACATGTATTATTTTCATCTTATAGGCATATCTTGCTATTTAAAAAAAAAGCTAGAGTTTTAAGTTGTGTATTCTGACCTAGTTTAACAACCATATTAAAATTATTATGCATTTATGAATATGAATCCTGGTAATTTTATATTTTGCCATAGAGGAATAAAGAAGGCTGTTAGGTTGACTAATCTTTCTTTGCAGGGAATGGAAGAAATCAGAAGACAGGTTGGACAACACATTGAAGTGGATCCTGACTGGGAGGCTGCTATTGCTATACAGATGCAATTGAAGAATATTTTACTCATGTTCCAAGAGTGGTGTGCTTGTGATGTAAGTTAAAGATTTGGTAGTAGGATTAGTACCTTTTTAAGTACTCTAATAGTTATTAGTAGCATAGTTTTATGCTGAAGCTTCCTTTATATAAATTTTATTATTTAATAAATAACACTCATACTTAAATTGTTTTATTAAATATAGGGGGAAAATTCAGTCTTTTACATTTGATTAGAAAATGTGCTCCAAAGTGGGTTTGCTCATAGAGGAATATTACAAGAATTAGAAGTATATGTTTTAGGCTGGAGAGATGAGTCTGTGGGTAAGAGTAAATACTGTTCTTGCAGAGGACCAGAGTTCAGTTCCTAGCACCCATGTCAGGTGGCTCACAACTGCCTGTAACTCTAACTCCAGGGGAATTTGACACATCTAGCCTCCTCAGATACCTGCACATACTACACATACCCACATAATTAAAATAAAATATATCTTAAATAGCTGAGTGTGGTGGCTCACACCTTTAATCCCAGTACTGGGCAGCAGAAGGTGGATCTCTGTGAGTTTGAGGCCAAACTGGTTTACATACTTCCAGGCCTGTCTCAAGCACAGTAAGTAAATTAAATAAATAAATAAATAAAATATCTTAGGCATGGGACATACACCTATAATTTCAACATGTGAGAGGCTAGGCAGGAGTATTACTGAGTTCAAGGCCAGCTGGGGCTACATAGTGAGTATCAGGCCAGCCAGAGCTATAAGGCAAGATCCTGTCTTACTCCCCCCAGATTATTCCATACATATTTACATATTTATTTTAAAATGATTTTTTTTTTTTTTTTTGGTTTTTTTGAGACAGGGTCTCCTTGTAGCCCCAGCTGTCCTGAAACTCACTATGTAGACTAGCTGGCCTTGAACTCACAGAGATCTGCCTGCCTCTGCCTCCTGAGTGCTGGGATTAAAGGCACCACCATGCCCAGCCGTTAAAATGAATTTTAATACTGTGATTAATTGGACCGTGAAGATTTTTTGAAAATTTCCAGAATGGAGAGGAATGGATATTTGAGAGATTTGTAATGTATTAAGTCACTTAGAAATTAATTTCAAAATAGTAAACAAATGTATTGCCTTAAGCAACAATTTTAAATGATAATCCTTTCTCTGTAAAGACACAATCCTGGTCTAGAGAGATAGCTCAGTAAGTAAAGTGCTTGCCGTACAAGCCTGATGATCTGAATTCCATGATCTCCAGCATCCATATGGTGGTGGATGCTTATAATCTCAGCACTGGAGAAGGAAGATGTGGCCATGATAGATAACCCCTCAGAAAACAAGGTGGATGCTCCTGAGGAATGACACTGGAGGTTACTTCCACTGTTGTGCCCAGTTCGTGAGACCCCAAAGACCACCAAGGAGCCGACCGATGCAAACACACGAGGGTTCTTTTATTGTTACAAGCTTAAGCTTGGGCCCATTCTGTCACCGACTCAGCGGATCTCAGATGTGAGACCCCTTGCTTTGGGAGACAGAGGTTTTTATAGGTTTATTTCAGCAAGTTCAGCAAGTAGGGGAGTAGGGAGTCTTCAGCCTGGCAAGTATCTGATTGGTTGCAGCTCAGTGCCAAACCATAAACTGCTGGCTTCAGGAACTCTGAAAAGATATCTGGACTTTTAGTACTTTTCCTGTCCCTGGTTAATTGACCGTTGGCAGGGGAGTTGTTCTCTATCCATTCCAAGTATTGTGGTTTTTCTTGGAACAGGGCCCAGGGCTGGGTCAGTCCTATAGAGGTTTTATCCAAAATGGAGTCACTCCAGTCTCTCACCATATGTGCCCACGCATGCGTGCACACACATACAGTCCTACCCATTTCGATCAGGAAGATGACTTATTGTGTGTTGTATGTATGTTTGCCCACTTTTCCATGTGTGGGAGTGACTGGAGGGTGACACTGGGTGTTTTCTATCTCTACTATATTGAGACAAGGTCTCCCACTGAACTTGAACCTCACCATTTCAGCTAGACTGGCTGGTCAGCAAGCCCCCTGGGGTCCCCTGTCCTCCCCCAACCCCCGTCCCTCAGTGCTGTGGTTACAGACAGCACCACATCCAGCTTTTACATGGGTACTAGCAATCCAAACTTAAGTCCTTAACATAGTGATCACTTTACCCACTGAATCCTCTCTCTAGCCACTCTTTTCTTCCTTTCCTGAGAAATTTGACATTTTCTGAGTGTCAAATTCCTTCATCTCTTCCAGTTTTTCTGAATAGCCTTTATAACCTTCTATTCACTGACTGGATTTCTCCATGTCTTCACTATCTGTCTCCTTTGTGTTTTTCTTTCTAAAATTAATGCTTTACCAACCTTTTCCCAGCGTTTACCCCCTCAGTTTCTCCATTTATATTTCCTACTTATTTACTCATCTGTCTATGGATATACAGGACTCCCCTGCTTGTGAAAGTAGTAACAATGGAAGCCATTCTACTTTTGCCAACTTTTTTTTTTAACAGATTTTTAAAAAATATTTTATTTATTGCTTTTATTTTATGTGCATGCATGTATTGCCTGCATGTAGGTAAGTGCATCCATGGCATGCAATGCCCGCGGAGGACAAAGGAGGCTGTTGGATGCCCTGGAACTGGAGTTACAGACAGTTGTTAGCTGCCATGCGGATGCTGGAATTCGATCCCAGGTCTTCTGTGAGAACAGTCAGTGTTCTTAACCGCTGAGCCATCTCTCCAGCCCCTTGCCAACTTTTTGATATACATTTTCTCTGTTTTTGACTCTTCTGTATCCAGCAGAAGTCAGTGATCAGAAGTTCAGAGTGACAGCCATACTCACAAACATAGGAGACTAATTTAGAGCCCAGATCTAGCAGCACATATCTTTTGACTCTCTCATCCTTAATATCATGTCATTTTAGGACAATTTTAGGGAGATTTTAGTCAAGGTGTACTGTTCATTGTCAGAGCATCCCAAATCTGAAGCCATCTGTAGTTACTGTCTCTATTCATTAGGTCCCAGTACTTTTTTAGAGTTTAATTCTGCTCTGACTAATTGACTAGAACTATATTTGGAAAAAAAAGATCCATTTAGTAAACTAATTAGAGATCTTTTATTAGCTCCCATAGTCCTTGATTTTTCTATAACATTTACTTGAGTTAAATACCTTGGTCTTCTTGAACCTTTCTTTCTCTCTGACTTTCATAAGACTGTGTGATCCTAATGCTTATATCAGTTACTAAGTTCAACCAATGATTGCCTTTTTTCCAATTTTTTTCTGCCTGCCAAAAGAGACATTCCCAATATTCTCTTTATAATGGGTCTTTCCTGTTTACCACTTAATTAAATTAATTAAGGGATGACTTTCCCAAGCTGAAGTTTCACTTCCATTTGTGTGCCAGATATTACATTAATGTTTCTTATATACCAAACTCAGAATGAATATATATTATATATAATATATGTAATTATATTGTATCTACCTATCTCTTTCTACATATATATAATATTTTTGAGACGGGGTCTCCCTGTAGCCCCAGCTGACCTGGAGTTTACTTTGTAAACCAAGCTAGTCTTGATCTCTCAGAGATTCGCCACCACCTCCCGAATGCTGGGATTAAAGGCATGTACCACCATGCCTGGCTTAAACTCAAAATATTTTAGGTTGATTTGTTATCATTTCCTTCTGTTTCTAACTTGTATTTTCTCAGCTGAACTTCCCTTGTTCTGTTATTAACACTGCTATTAATACATCCATCTGTACAGAAAATCTCAGAACCATTATATTCTGTATGTTTGATATTAATAGGGATTTTGAAGAGAAAAAGGTTTTGACTTCACATGATAGAAATGTTGGATTGAACAACTGTAGATCCAATGAAAGAGGATCTTTTTAAAAGCTACTGAACTCAAACACTTTAATTAATCAATATGCTGATACCTAAGTGAAGTGTTCCCAAAATTTATTTGGTTATAGAATTCCTTGTTCAAGATAAAATTAGGGCCAAAAACACTGTATTAAGTGACCTGAGTGACCTTTGACTCTTACCATCTTCACTTAGATTTGATTCTTCTGTATCCCAACTTTCTGAGGGTTCATTCTTTTCTTTCCCAGCTTCCCATACTTCAGACTCATCACTTACACCTGGACTTTCAGATTTTTAATCTTGTTGTTAGTTTTTGTATCTCCTTTCTTTATCCTTTCCAGTCTTCACCTTCAGTGACACACATTCATTCTTCTTGAAAAATATGTTGACTATATTACATTTCAGATAACATCAATGTTTTACATACTGCAGCATTTCCAAATTAATGTTCACCAACTCCACCCATGCAGCCTGTGGTTTATTTAGTTTTTAATTCTTCTGAGCTGCCTGAATGGGAGTTGTATTTTCCTCATTTTTGTTTTTATTTTTTATAGATCTCTATTTAGAATGCCACCTTCTTCTCATTTTTCCCCATGTTTAGATTTTGCTTATTTGTGTCTGTGTATAGGTATACCCACACATGTGCGTGTGTGTGTGTTGTGTGTGTGGTGCTTGGGATCAAACCTAGGAATTTGTGCATTATAAGCACGTGCTCTGCCACTTTACTAATACTCTCGGCTCTTAAAATTCTCTCTCCTTCTCTCTCTATGTAGGGGGATTTTTCTCCCCCTTCAGCAGTACTGAGGTCTCACACATGCTAGGCCAAAGCTCTACCACTGAGCTACATCCTCAGACAGATTTTGTGTTTTCTTTTTTTTTTTTCCCTTTTTATTTACTATATTGTCATGTTTCACAGGAGGCAATAATAATAATAATTAAGCTAACAACAATTACACTTGCTGGCAAGTGAGCATGAACTATTGCTAAACATGTCACATACATTCATTGCATCTCAACAGTTATCAAGAGGAGTGTTAATAGCTCAATTTTACACATACCAAAGCTGAACCTTAGAGCATGCCTTAAATTCATAAAGCTAGTAGCAGCTGAGGAGGATTGAGATCAGGACAGTCTGACTCAAGGTGTGATCTAAGCCACACTGCTTATCTCATCTTTTTTTTCCCCCCCAGGTAA